ACCCGTTTCACCCGTTAAGAAAATAAACTTTTTTAATAAAAATTTAAAAAACCTATATTTTTACATGCCCACAAAATCAAATCATTCCAACAAAAGCTAATATTCTTGAATTTAATCCAAACTTCAACATCCGTGAACATGATCCATCATAACAAAAGGAAAAGGCAAAATAAATATGAAGTAATCCATGAAGCTCTGCACACAAAAAAATCCATTAAGATGATCCAAACTTCAACATTTCACCATTGCAATTTTCCTGGAAGAAAAAAAAAACACAGAAATTGTTAGACAGCAGTTAGTATGAAAATTCCAAACTCACAGAAATTGTTGTGAACTGCACATAAAAATTCTTCTCTAATATTGCTTTTAATATCAATTCTATACATAAAAATAAATAATATTAATACAACCCAAAACCATACAAAGATCAAATTGTTTGAAACTGTAACACTAAATCAAAATACAAGGTTGATTCTTCTTCATGCTTTATTGTTGGTTTGAAACTGTAACACTAAACATATATATAAATTAAAAAAATTGAAGTTGGGCCATTCCAACGTTTTTTGGTCAACACGGAGCTTTCATAAGCAAACCTGGAGAGGGCCAGAACCACAAACATCTGGGGATGAAGCATCCACCAGGACAGCACAAGGAAACAGAAGAACTGTAATAAACAAGACAATCACAATAACTTTAGAAGGACAAAAGTCCAGCAGCAGGGGAAAAAGCAAGGCCCCAGACAAAGAAGAAATGTGAAGAGCAAAAACACCATGAATTATGGAGGGCCAGGGAGGCGTCCAACTCCAATGAATGGGAATAATCTGAACATTTGTTAATGTTTCTCTCTCTCTCTCTCTCTCTCTCTCTCCATTATGTAAACTCATCCCATAATCATATAAATTCAGGAAATCAATGCCACATTAAAACCAACGAACACTCGTACGTACATAACCTTCCTAAAAATCTTAAACAACTCCTGTAGAACTCATCATAATTATTTAATTTGAAAATCCTAACCCCCGATTCCTAGAAGTACGTGCATCGAATTTTGAGTCATTCCTGTGCCCACAAAAGCTTTTCCAAGGTTTAGAATGGTCTAAAAAAGCCTCGGGTCTCAAAAGCGATAAAGTCCTAAAAAGTCAACCCGGGACCCCGTGGGGTCCATGACCTCAAATTCCCGATCCGGAAGTTCCTAGAGGTTCCAACATACCTAAGACACATGTCCCGAGAGTTTGATCTCGATCGGACGGTCGGATTGCTCACGATCGCACGATTAGATGGGTGAACGATTTCCCGTAATACTAACCCTAGGGTTGGCCTTTTCGGAGTATCCGGGACTCCGATTCACGATCCGTCGAATCCTACACGATTATAAAATTACCTAGATCAACATACTCCAGTTTGACTACGATCCAACGGCCCGAACGTATTGAACCCGGAAAATGCACACTATGCGAGATCCGTTCGGGGTTCAAACGTTATCCGAATTGAGATCCGCGAATTCCTACACGCTCGTGAGGACACGAGGATCGTTCTGGGATCAAGAGCGGTCCCTGCTACCTGGCCGCCCACGTGCCGGCCGGAAAATGGGTGTGAATGGTAAATTCCGGCGGCCAGAAAATTTCCAAACCGCCGGCCCAAACTCCTATCCTAGGTAATACACCCTATTTGGAACAACTTTTGTTCTTAGACTACGGCCAAAAAATGAACGGAAGTGACTGAAATCGGCGACGCAAAACCGGCAGAAACTAAAATCGAATTTTAACCTGTCAAACCTCAAAATCTCTCCAATCCTACCCAACCATCAGCTAGAGCATGAAAATCAGTTGAAAAACCATACCTCATTTGTCCGATTTGGTGGCCGGATGAGGGAGTTTGAGGGATTTGAAAATCGGAGAAAATCTGCCGCGATTTTCTGGTTTTCTGGGCAGATTCGTGGCGGCAGGCGGCGGGGGAGGAGTCGGGCTGAGCTGCTGAGGTGTCGCCGGTCCTTTCTGGGCTGGTCCGGCGTCCTATGGCGGTCGGATGGTGGTGGGTTATGGTAAAGGGAGGTGCGGCTGGAGGAAGAAGAAAACAGGGGGGAGGGTTGGGTGTCGCGCGAGGAAGAAGAGAGTGAGGAGAGAGAAGGGAGAAACATATTTTTTTTAAAAAAAATCTGATTTTCAGAAAATACCATTTTGCCCTTTTTTCGAAATTTGCTTGTATTTTCTTCAATACAACTCGGAATTGAGCCCATTACATGTCTACAGACTCGTTTTGTCGTGCTTTACGCAATGGTATAAGTGGATTTTCCAAACTCTTTCTCGGTCAAAAAGTCAAGTTAAAACCTAATAAATTATTCCGAGGGTAGTTTAGTCTTTTCCTTCATTAAATTAATAGTTAAATAATAATTAAGGTTTGGGTTGTTACACTAAATTTAATGCATTATTTCCTTGTAATTGAATTCAAGATTTTGAATTTTGAATTTTTTCCTTAATAATATTCCTAATATATAGATAAAATACAATTTAATCAATAAAAAGTAAAGACTCGCATATTATACCAATCGATCAGACAAGCACCCACATTAAATTATGTACCTGACATACAGGTAAATAATGTTAATACATACAAGTATATATGTACCTGCCTTACAGGTAAGTGTTTTGTTCTTGAGTTTTCTTAAGCAATTTTTTCTGGAGCTTCATATTTATATACATACGTACATGTCTTCCATGTAATAGTGTTTTTTTTTTTTTCCAAATAAGAATTTTTTTTCCTTGATAATATTCCTAATATATAGATAAAATGCAATTTAATCAATAAAAAAGTAAAGACTCATATATTATACCAATCGATCAAACAAGAACCCACATTAAATTATGTACCTGACATACAGGTAAATAATGTTAATACATACAAGTATATATGTACCTGCCTTACAGGTAAGTGTTTTGTTCTTGAGTTTTCTTAAGCAATTTTTTCTGGAGCTTCATATTTATATACATACGTACATGTCTTCCATGTAATAGTGTTTTTTTTTTTTTTCCAAATAAATTTTGTATGGATTTTTATCTCAGTTGAGTTTAAAGATCAATACCAAGATATTATATGAGTTCAATTAGCTGGGTTAGAGGGTATAACTACCTAGACTATAGGTAATTTATGGATTTAATTACCCGGACCAAAGGTAATTTATGGGTTTAATTACCTGCATACTGCATACGAGGTGTATGCATAGGTACCTTACCTATTGTTAAGGTATGAAGTTTTTATGAACTCTTATTACAAATTTTGATGTCGGTATACCTTGAGAAAATTTCAGAATTCAGTAAATAGATTTGCAATTAAATTCAAATCAAATATGATAATTAATATCATACAAATCAATAACTTACCAATTTTACGAATTTATAATTTACCTTATTAATGTTTTAGGTGCATAACTGGAACAAAAAATAAAAAATAAATAAAAGTAAATATCAATAAATTGAAAAAGGCATGTAATCTTATGTGGCGCAAAAGTCAAAGGACTTGAATCAACAACAATTTATGCATGGATTGCACCCAAAATCTCTCCTCATAATTGGACTTATGCCAAATTTTCTATAAAGAATTTGGCTTCCTAAAGATCACACATAGAAATAAAAGCAAAAAAACAAAAAACAATATCAGATACAGAAATTATAACATCATCAACTTGAGTTTGTGATGCTTACAAATCTATAAACTAAGGGAGCGGCATAAAACGACAGTCTATATAGCGTGCTGCGTGCTACTCCTCTATGTGTCTGGGGTTTATTTTGGAAAAAGCCATGCTTATAAGTTATAAGCCAACAGCCACTTAGATTATTAGGTTTTGCATTTCACAGGTAAATCAATAACGACAAATAAAATATGAGAAAGAGAAGAAAAGGGTGGCAGAATTAGGAGAAAACTTGTATGTCACGGGGCTATTCACGTTCCGTCATGCGTGATAAGAATTTCACATGACGGAACGTAATTGGATGAGGATAGCAAAACAGTGCTATACCCGTGACATGCAGGGTCTTGTTTTTTTTTTATTTTTTGAACAAACAATTAGACAATACATTAAATATGTGAGGTGGATTTATGTTGACTGAGAAGTAATATTTGGAAGATGAAAAAAAA